TACCTCGACCTGGCCGTTGGCTTGCGGATGAGCTACAGAGGCGAAATGCTGTTCGATTCTCATATCTTCACACCACGCTCGAATCCGCTTACCATTGAATTGGGTGCCATTATCGGAAATCAACACCTTGGGTACACCAAAACGACAGCAAATGTTGTTATATAGGAATTTAATTACTTTCTCTTCCGTGATCTTCGCCAAGGGCTCGGCTTCCACCCATTTCGTGAAATAATCGACCGCCACTATTAGGAATTTTCTCTGTCCTGTTCCCTGCGGCATTGGCCACACCAGATCGATGCCCCACTGAGCGAAGGGTATGGGGGCACTCATCGTTGTCATTGCTCGGCCGGTTGATGGATCAAGGGACCATGTTTCTGGCATTGCAAGCATTTCTTACCATCGCTTTCACATCTTCTCTCATCGTCGGCCAGAAATAACCTGCTCTTAGGATCCTTGCGACCAAGGCCCCCGATTTACTATGATCGCTGCAGAAACCTTCATGCATCTGCCTCAGCACGTATCGACCTTCTTCCTTGGTGACACAGCGTAAATGTGGTCCTCTATATGACCGCTTGTAAAGGATACCTCCATGCTCGAAAAATCTCCTGACCACCTTCATAGTCCCTTCTCTCAGTTCCTCCAAGATCGGGGCCCTCCAATCCTCTACCTCTTCGATCTCCGCCACCTCCGTCTCAACTGCACTTTTCTCCAGATGCAATAGAGTGACACTTCTGCCCTTACAATCGACCAAACTTTGGGCAATTTTCGACAACAGGTCTGCTCGACCATTCTCTCCTCGAGGAATTTGTATTAATTCGAACGATTCAAACTCCTCTCTCAGCTTCTTCATTTCATCCACATATTTCTGCATCCGATCCTCTTTGACTTCAAAACCTTCTTGAAACTGCCCAACCACCAGTTGAGAATCGGAATGTACTTGCAACTTTCGAGCACCCCCCGCTTTGGCTAAACTCAGTCCCTTAATCACCGCCTCATATTCAACTTCATTATTGGATATCTTGAACCCCACTTTAACCGCGAATTCCAAATAATCACCCTTGGGAGAAACAAGAACAATTCCCAATCATGCTCCGCTTCGGGCCACAGATCCATCTACAAACAACTGCCATAATCCGTCTGACTTCTCCTCGACTTTCGTGCCTTCCTGGATAAAATCAGTCAACACCTGTGCCTTTATGGCTCTCCTCGGCTCGTACATCAGAGAATACTCGCTCAGTTCAACTGCCCACTTTACCAATCGACCAGAGACCGATGGCTGACCCAATGTTTCTCCCAACGGCATATTCGTTCGCACCTTCACCTTATGATTCAAGAAATACGGTCTTAACTTGCGAGCAGTTACAACTACAGCTAAAGCACACTTCTCGATCTCCGAATACCTCGTTTCTGCTCCTTGCATTACTCTACTCACATAGTAAATAGGGAGTTGTGCTTTTCCTTCCTCCCGCAACAATACCGAACTTACAGCTCTCTCCCCGATGGAAATGTATAGCACCAGCTCCTCTCCTTGCACGGGTTTGGCCAATAAAGGGAGGTTGGCCAACACCCCTCGCAGCTCCTCAAATGCTTTTTGCGCCTTCTCCGTCCATTGGAACTTCGCGCTCTTCTTCAGGGTTTTGAATAATGGTCCACTTTTCTCTGCCACCTTCGATATAAAACGACTCAGCCCCGCAATTCGACCGGCTAAAATCTGCACCTCTTTTACGTTTGTTGGTGACTTCATCTCCATCACAGCTCGAACCTTCTCCGGATTGACTTCAATACCCCTCTTGGTCACCAGATAGCCCAAAAATTTGCCCGACCTTACCCCGAAAGAGCACTTAGCCGGATTCAGCTTCATCCCGTATCTCCGCAACGTCAAGAATGTTTCTTTCAAATCTCGCACATGATCCAATTCCTCTTTACTCTTCACCAACATATCATCCACGTATACCTCCATATTCCTTCCCAGTTGCTCCTTAAAAATTTTATCGACCAACCTTTGATACATGGCACCCGCATTCTTTAAACCGAACGGCATGACCACGTAACAATAGGTCCCTCGACTCGTCATGAAACTCACCCGCTTCTTATCCTCTCTAGCCAAAGGGATTTGATGATACCCCTGGGATGCATCCATCAGACTCAGCAACTCGCACCCTGCCGTTGAGTCGACCAGCTGGTCGATTCTGGGCAGCGGATATAGG